CTTACTGTGAGGATCATTTAATAATACATAAAAATATCAAATCACTTTGATGTACACTAAAATAATGGGATATTGTATGTCAGTTATACTTCAGTAAAAGAATATGGCAGAGTTTCAGGTTAGGTTTGTCTGACTTCAAAGCTCAGGTGTGTTGTTTATGAGTCCTCCATTTCTTGGTATTTCCTCCATCAATATTTTATTCAAACCGAACTCTTCTTTATTACACAAATGTGCCTAATTCTTTTCCATCTCTCTACCTTTTGCTCATTATACTTCCGACTCTGAAATGCCCTTCCCACTCATTTCTTCATGTATGAATTTTACTAATCTGTCAGAGACCTGTTTAGTCATCATCTTGCCATGACACTTTTCTTGAATTCCCAGCCAGAAGTAATCTCACATCTATTTGTCATCTACATAGCAATTAGCATGGTTTCTGGTGTACTTTAACTGCTCAGTACATGCTAGTGAATGATGTTAAATTCTTTTCTATAACACTGCACATGAATTATTTTGTATTCACAGAATACTCTTCTTCTAAAAGCTTGAGTAAGCTAGAAGATATTTTTCTAAACTTGTTATTTTAGAGAACAAGGACAGTCATAATGCTAATCTAATGTATAGTGAGAGAAACTGACTAAAAGATAACTCTCTTATTTCAATTTGAAACTGCAAGTATATTTAGTAATTTTCTCTAAGCAGTTTTTAAACACCTCATTTCCTTTTCATCAGCAATGTTTTGGAGCTGCAGGTGAAAAATGTAGGTTAACCATGTAAAACTGTCTTGGATACAGGCTGTCATTTTGCAAATTCCACTGGATAATTGTTTTTTTTTAATAAATAATATAATAAAGGATATTTAAAATATACTTCTCATTTGGATTTTCTCCAAAAAAGACCATGGGATTTCAAAAGCTAGCTCACCTTTCTCCATTTAATTAAGGGCATTTTTGATGGTTGCCACTGACAGACATGTTTTGCTTTATCCACTTTATTTCATTTAGTATTTTTAATTTTTTTAACATTTGCTTATTATTGAGAGTCAGAGACAGAGCATGAGTATGGGAAGGGCAGAGAGAGGGGAGACACAGTATCCAAAGCAGACTCCAGGCTCTCAGTTGTCAGCACAGAGACCAATGTGGGGCTCAAACTCACAAACTGCAAGATATTGACCTGAGCTAAAATAGGACTCTTAACCAACGGAGCCACCCAGGTCCCCCTCTTTAGTATTTTTAAAAGCATTGATCTAAGAGCTATGGAGGGTAAAGGGAAATGTAAGTGTCTGCAAAAATATAACCTAGTCTGAAAGAGATAATGAACAATACAAGGTAGTATAAAATCAAATTATCATTGTAATGGTACAGATCATGGATTCAGAAGATGGAGACATTAATAGTCTTTTCTAAATAATTTAGTACTTGATTACCCACTGGTTTGTACTATGTGTTAAATTACTTATAACACACATTAAAAAGCTTTTTTCTTACAGTCTGCATGAAGTACGCCTCAGTTTTTCTGACTTTGACACAAAGAAGGTAGTCAACAAGGCCGGCCCTTGCAGTGAATCATTCCTCAAGGGAATTATCCCTGGAAATAAATTCTGTCTCTAGCAATTTGTGTTAATAGCTAAAAGATATTGGTCTCAAAATTTACCCAAGTATTTACAGTCTTTACTCTAGATATAAAACATTACTTTTTTTTTTTTTGCTTTTCTTTCTGGATTTTCTTTCCTTTTCTATGTTTTATTTTATTCTGATGATATCTGGCTTCATAGGGAAAAACAAAACCCATGCTATGTGCCTGATAACATGCTAATTACTTTTCATATGTATTCTTTCATTTTATCTGCACACATAAACAATAACTTTCTTCTAGACAGCTATTCATCATTTTCATTTTTAAAGTTAAGAAAACTGAAGTGCAGAGAGGTTAAATAAAGTGCCCAACATTGAGCAGGCAATTTGTACACAGACTTCAGTATCTGGTATTAGAATATAAACTTGTATGCTTTTTCGAATTAACATTTGCTAAAAGACAAAGAATTAAATTTAGTGTTGTTTATCTTGTGCTAACAAAAGTTGAGTAACAAATAGCACAGAATTGAAGATGAGATAGATAATGGAACAAAATACCATGAGTGAGATCCAGAGACACAGAAACAGATCCATGAAGGTTTCAGGTTATTAGAATTATCAGGGACAGATTAACAACAACAACAAGAACAAGAACAGTTATTTGCTATTTTCCACTAAATAAAAACAAGCTTGAAATTGTTAGGAAACTGAAAAATGCCAAATGGTGACATTGTATATTTGAAAAAGAACAAAATAGAAATTTTAGAAATGCAAAATATCAGTGAAATTAAGAAAATGGTTTGATAGCAGACTAGATATTGCTGAAGAAAGAGCCAATAGAGGGGAAAATGAGTATAAAAAACTATTTAGAACGCAACACAGAGAGACAACAATGAAGAATACAAAAGAGAGAATAAATAATAGGAATAAAGTCTCTAACATTATTTCACTGGAGTTCAATAAACATTAGCTGTTATTATTACTATGTCACTTCTTAGTTAAATATCTTCAATATTTCTCATCACCTACAGAATTAAATATACACTAGTAAACTAATTAAACTTTCTTTTACTTATTTAAACTAATCTCCAGCTTCTTCCTAACATAAAATAGCTTTATCTATGCTCTTTTTGTCTCCATGCCCTTATGTCTTATGTTCTGTCCCAGCTTTCTTGCCTGAAAACTGAATGAAGCCTTTCACGGTCCTTCTTCCTTCCCAGCCAGTCTGATGATTGTTCCTCCCTTTGTTTTTTCATCAGGTTTCATTTACCTGTTATCAAATCTCAAGTTATATGGCATCATACTTTGTCTACATGTCTGATATCACATTCAATTGTGTACTTCTTAAGGCATGGATTTTTAAACATTTTATCAAACTTAATTTTTCAAAGCAGTTTTAGGTTCACAGAACAATTGAGCACAGGTATTGAGGTTTCTCTTGTACCCTGCTCCCACATGAGCACAGCTTCCCCCACTATGGATATGGATATGGATACTGGTACATTTTTTACAATCAGTGAACCTACATTGACCCATCATTATCATCCAATGTCCGAAGTTTACGCTAGGATTCACTCTTGGGTTTGTACAAATGTATAATGACATGTATCCACCATTATCATATTATACAAAAGAGTTTTACTGCCTTAAAAGTCCTCTGTGCTCTACCTATTCATATTTCCCTAAACTCTACCCTCTGCCTAGAGGTTCTTTTTCATTTAACCTTAGAATATAACATAGGAGCGCCTGGGTGGCTCAGTCAGTTAAGCATCCAACTTCGGAGCAGGTCATAATCTCATGGTTCATGGGTTCAAGCCCCACGTCGGGCACTGTGCTGACAGCTCACTCAGAGCCTGGAGTCTGCTTCAGATTCTATGTCTCCCTCTCTCTCTGACCCTCCCTGCTCACGCTTTCTCTCTCTTTCTCAGAAATAAATAAAAAACATTAAAAAAGAGAATATAACAGAATGCCTGATACATAGTTGCCCCCAAATAAATGTTTTTAGATGTATGGTTGAATGAATGAAAGGGAGGGACAAATTGGAGAGAATCAGGGCTTCTTTTTATTGTCTTGCTGACTGATATTTTGTCTCTGTTTCAATAATTACTATACCAATTATATCCTAGTCAGAAGATGACCCCATATTACTGTCTTTCAGAATTCTGTGTTTCTTGAGACGCTAATTCAAATCTCACTTTATCCATTCAACTTGAGTCAAGAGTAAGCTCTGGGCACTTTTAAGACTTATTTAATAAGTGATCTATTTAATTCAATATATCACACTTATATATTTTTGTTTCATAAGCTTATGTCTAGACTCCCCAGTGAAACTGAATCATGTTTTTATGTAGGTAGAGTTTCCATTCTCTCACTTTTTATGAGCAAGAGGTGTCTTCATAACTTACTACTTTTTTACTTGGGACTGTAGACAATGGTCATGGATTAGAGAAACTTGCTGGTCAGTAAAAACTTATCAGTGTCAGTCTTTGCATCATTTCAGCTGTCTAGAACAGAAAATTTTGGGGAACTAATTGAAAACATAACAAGGAAGTAATTTTTTTTTAGATTTGAGCCTGCAGCAGTTTCCGCACAAAGTTATAGAGGAGTGTCAAATTGATAAAATAATGTCTCCATGCTAGCAGAGTTATTTTAAAACTTTTCCATCCTTTTCCAAGTGTTTTACACATTCTAAAACTGCATCTTTTTTGTTATTTTGTTTTGATAAAAACTTAAGAAAATTTTATGCATGTTGCTGATTTTAAAGTCAACACTTTTTCCTTTGACCCTCATACTGAACATAAGGGAGAAATAATTTAGATTTTTGAAATTTCATTCAATTAGTTTGATTATAGAAGATGGGTGTGATTGTTTTGTGTTAGTCTACATTGTAAAACCATTGTGCACACATGTCAGTTTTTCCTTAATTTTAATTCACTGGGATGCCTCTCTATAGTTTGCGGGATTTCTAAGAAAAGTGCTTTGAGAGAACTTGAATTTGGGTTTTTTGACTCAGGGAGATATGAAACTTTCACTTTAATAAAGACCAATACCCATTTGAAAGATTATGGAGAAAATTTAGCCCAATCATATAAAACAAAAACCCTCATATTTTTTTTAGTTAAGGTAAAGTTTTGCCATTCGTATAGTAATGGCAGTCTTAATAGCTGTGTTGGGTGATCTATCATGAATTGAATACCCTTCCTTTTTGGAATACTGCAGAGTATGATATTTAACATTCCAAAAGAAAGTAAAGCATTCAAGTAAACATTATCTTTAAAATATACTGCCATGCATATTCCTCATTATGATCTTGTAATTGATACCAGTTTTAAGTTGGAATCTCAATTCATGTTCACTAAAGTAATTTCAAGTCTTAAAAAGTAACCTGAGTGATTAGTTTTACGGCAGTTCTATTTTTATTCACAGATAATGCATCTGAGGTAGCAATTACTGCTCCAGGAAGTAGTAACCATAGAAACAGCTCAACAGGCCCAACACCTGACTGCTCACCTCCATCCCCTGACACTGCCCTCAAAAATATTGTAAAAGTTATTCGACCCCAGGTAAGTGCTCAGAATGATATCATCTGCAGTAGTGTATTTTATTTTGGAATCATTGCATGTATACTGCTTATATTACAATGCTTGGACTATTTTGTGATATGCAAGTCAATTTTTAGATTAAAAGAAGGGACTTAGAAGAGGATGTTTCCTAACATTGGAGTTGATGATAGATATTGAAATTCATATTAGCTTTTGGAAAAATGAATCTGTATATCACATGAAAAAACAAGTGAAACTTAGAAAATTTCACACCACTTTTCTCTCACCACATTTTAATAATTATGCTCCAGTTATTAAACTGTTACATGTTTTCAGGGTTTTCTTGTGCCTTTTGTCTTCACTTCTCTGGACATGCTGCATTATTTGTGATCACCTCTCCATCTTTCAACCAAAGTTTTTATTATTATTATTTAGTTAGTTAGTTAGTTTTAAGTAGGATCTATGCCCAACGTGGGGCTTGAACTCATGACCCTGGGTTCAAGAGTTGCATGCTCTACCAACTAAGCCAGCCAGGTGCCCTCCCCACTGCCAGAATTTTCTTCTTAAAAATGACATTTTTATTGTGTTGTTTTCTGACTAGAAGTGCACTGGTGTGTTGTAAGAACTCACAGAATATAGTTATGTTAAAATAGAAAGAAAATTCCACCCCAAAGATGGCTACTGCTAATAGTTCAGTGCTTATTATTTCCAGATGATTTTTGTGCATAAACACACGTAATAAGCTTAACTATTGTTTCCAAACCTAACAACTAAATAGATTTGGACAAATGTTTTGAGGTAAATTTCTGCTTATCCCAATTCTTACTATTTGCTATCTGAAACTCAAGATCTGAACACATTCATAAAACTTAATATCCTTAATTATCTGAATTATCTATCCAGATTTTAACATTTACTCTCCGACTTTAGAAATAAATAAATTTGGATAGCTAAGGATAATTGTATAAGTATTTTTTTCTCTTATAAAAGTTGATTTGTAATATACATTATTCAACAACTTGCCTTCTTTGCTTATATGAATATTTTTGACACCATTCCATATTAATTCATAAAGATCAATCTCATTTTTTAATGTCTGCATAGTATTCTACTTTATAGCTATATCATAATTTATTGAGCATGTTTCTTATTGATGAGCCTTTGCTGGTAACTTAAGTATATGCACTAACATGGAAAAGTGTCCAGATAATACATATATTTTTCTCTTTCCTTCCTACTCTATGACTGTGGGTCCACTTTTAATTTAGAGCACATGGTTTGGCTCTTAATTATAAACTAGATTATAATTATATGTTTAATATAGGCATGTTTATCTCATCTTCCCATACACTGTCAATTGTGAGCTCTTTGAAATGAGGGATTATCCTCACTTGTGTGTCTTCCAAAATACCTATAAAAAGTATTGGGCACACATTTTGGGAGGTCCTCAAAAAGTTATACATAGAGTTACCCTCTGATCCAACAACCACTCTTTTTAAAAACAATTTTTGAATATGATTTAAAAATTCTGTTTTATATCAACTGCATTTTTTTTCTTTTTACCTTTTGACCTCCTTCACCCAAACAATATTTTTAAGTTAAAAAAGTATGTTGGAGTGAGTGGATAGGGGGCTCCTGGGGGCTCAGTTGGTTAATTGTCCAACTATTTTTTTTAATTTATTTATTTTTTAAATTTACATCCAAGTTAGTTAGCATATAATGCAACAATGATTTCAGGAGTAGATTTCTTAGTGCCCATTACCCACTGAGTCCATCCACCATCCCACAACCCCTCCAGCAACCCTGCATTTGTTTTCCATATTCAAGAATCTCCCATATTTTGTCCCCCTCCCTGTTTTTATATTATTTTTGCTTCCCTTTCCTTATGTTCATCTGGTTTGTATCTGCAAGTGCTCATATGAGTGAAGTCATAAGATATTTGTCTTTTTCTGACTAACTAATTTTTCTTAGCCTAATATCCTGTAGATCCATCCATGTAATTGCAAATGGCAAGATTTTGATTGCTGAGGAACACTCCATTTTATATATATATACCACATCCTCTTTATCCATCATAGACATTTGGGCTCTTTCCATACTTTGGCTATTGTTGATAGCACTGCTATAAACTTTGGGGTGCTTATGTCCCTTTGAAACAGCTTACCTGTATCCCTTGGATAAATACCTAGTGGTACAATTCCTGGGTTGTAGCGTAGTTCTAGTTTTGATTTTTGAGGAACTTACATCTTGTTCTCCAGATGGTTGTACCAGTTTGCATTCTTACCAGCAGTGCAAAAGAAATCCTGTTTCTTGACATCCATACTAACATCAGTTGTTGCCTCAGTTGTTAATATTAGCCATTCTGATAGGTGTGAGGTGGTATCTCATTGTGGTTTGATTTGTATTTTCCTGATGATGAGTGATGCTGAGCGTCATTTCATGTGTCTGTTGGCCATCTGGATGTCTTCTTTGGAGAAGTATCTATTCATGTCTTATGCCCATTTCTTTGCTGTATTATTTATTTTTTGGGTATTGAGTTTGATAAGTTCTTTATAGATTTTGGATACTAAGCCTTTATCTGAGATGTCATTTCCAATTATCTTCTTCCATTCTGTTGGTTGCCTTTTAGTTTTGCTGATTGTTTCCTTCACTGTGTAGAAGCTTTTTATTTTGATGAGGTACCAATAGTTCATTTTTGCTCTTGTTTCTCTTGCATCCAGAGCTGTGTTGTGGAAGACATTGCTGTGGCCAAGGTCAAAAAAGTTATTACCTGCTTACCCCTCAAAGATTTTGATGGTTTCCTGCCTTACATTTAGGTCTTTCATCCCTTTAGAGTTTATTTCTGTGTATTGTGTAAGAAAGTGGTCCAGGTTCATTTTTATGCATGTCGCTGTCTAGTTTTCCAAGCACCATTTGCTGAAGAGACTGTCTTTATTCCATTGAATATTCTTTCCTGCTTTGTCAAAGATTAGTTGGCCATTTTTTGTAGGCCTACTTCTGGGTTCTCTATTCTATTCCATTGATCTGAGTGTCTATTCTTGTGCCAGTACCATACTGTCTTGATGATTATAGCTTTGTAATACAGCTTGAAATCTGTAATTGTGCTTTCTTGCTTTGGTTTTCTTTTTCAAGATTGCTTTGACTATTTGGGGTCTTTTCTGGTTCCATACAAATTTTAGGGTAGTTTGTTCTAGTTTTGAGAAGAATGCTGGTGCAGGTTTGATTGGGATTGCATTGAATATGTATATTGCTTTGGGTAGTATTGACATTTCAACAATATTTGTTCTTCCTATCCAGGAGCCTGAAATATTTTTCCATTTTTTTTGTGTGTCTTCTTTGATTTCTTTTATAAGCTTTCTTATAGTTTTCAGTGTATAGATTTTTCACCTCTTTGGTTAGATTCATTCCTAGGTAATTTATTGTTTTTGATGCGATTGTAAATGGGATCGATTCCTTGATTTCTCTTTCTCTTGCTTTATTATTGGTGTATAGGAATGCAACCAATTTCTGTGCATTGATTTTATATCCTGCCACTTTGGTGAATTCATGGATCAGTTCTAGCAGTTTTTTGGTGGAATATTTTGGGTTTTCCATATAGAGTATCATGTCATCTGTGAAGAGTGAAAGTCTGACCTCCTCCTGGCTGATTCAGATGCGTTTTACTTCTTTGTGCTGTCTGAATGTATTCTGCTGCTTTAGCATGAAATGTTCTAAATATCTGTTAAGTCCATCCAGTCCAGTGTGTCATTCAATGCCATTGTTTCCTTGTTGATTTTCTGTTTAGATAATCTGTCCATTGCTGTAAGTGGGGTGTTAAAGTCCCCTACTATTATGGTATTATTATCAATGAGTTTCTCTATGTTTGTGATTACTGGATTTATATATTCGGGTGATTCCACATTTGAGCTTAAATGTTTATGATTGTTAGATCTTCTTTTGGATAGACTCATTAATTATGATATAATGCCCTCTTCATCTCTTGTTACAGTCTTTATTTTAAAGTCCAGATTGTCTGATATAAGTATGGCTACTGCAGCTTTCTTTTGGTGATCATTAGCATGATAGATCATTCTCCATCCCCTTACTTTCAATATGGAGGTGACTTTAGGTCTAAAGTGGGTCTCTTGTAAACAGCACATAGATGGATCTTGTTTTCTTATCCATTCTATTACCCTCTGTCTTTTGATTGGAGCATTTAGTCCCTTGACATGTAGAGTGAGTAGTGAAAGGTGTGAATTGATTGCCATTATGTTGCCTGTAAGGTTGGAGTTTCTGGTGTTGTCCTCTGATCCTTTCTAGTCTTTGTTGCTTTTGGTCTTGTGTGTGTGTGTGTGTGTGTGTGTGTGTGTGTGTGTGTATGTGTGTGTGTGTGCGTGTGTCTTCTCCCCTCAGAGAGCTCCCCTTAAAATTTCTTGCTGGGCTGGTTTATTGGTCACAAACTCCTTTAATTTTTGTTTATCTGGGAAACTTTTTATCTCTCCTTCTATTTTGAATGACAGCCTTGCTGGAGAAAGAATTCTTGGCTGCATATTCTTCCAGTCCAGCACATGGAATATATCCTGCCACTCCTTTCTGGACTGCCAAGTTTCTGTGGATAGGTCTATTGCAAACCTGATCTGTCTTCCCTTGTAGGTTAAGGACTTTTTTTTTTTTCCTTGCTGCTTTCATGATTCTTTCCTTGCCTGAATTTGACTATAATATGCCTTGTAATAGTCACTTTTTGTTGAATATAATGGGAGTCCCCTGTGCTTCCTGTATTTTGATGTCTGTGTCTTTCCCCAGGTTAGGAAAGTTTTTCTCTAAGATTTGCTCACATAACCCTTCTACCCCTTTTCTCTCCATCTTCTGGGACCCCTCAATTCTGATGTTGTTCCTTTATAATGAGTCACCCATTTCTCTAATTCTTAAATCATGCTTTTTTTTTTTTTTTGGCTTTACTCTCCCTCTTTTTTTCTGCTTCATTATTCTCCATAAGTTTGTCCTTTATATCACTGATTCACTGCTCTGCCTCATCCGTCCTT